TATTTGGCGTGTTACACTTCCTATTTTGTCATGGACCCTTACTTTACATCACTTTACCTCACTTACATACTTAGAGCGCTCCCTATTCGGCTCCGAGCCCTGGGAGAGCGCTCAGGTAGAACTTACATACTCTCATGTTCGTTTTACACCCCACTATACCTTAGCTTCCTACCACTCAGTATCTATCACCAGTTAGTTCCATGCAATGCATGTATCCATCATCATCTTGAGGCCCTAGCATCAGTCTATAGCTAGTGGCACAGTCAGTATCCAGTCTAGACCCACACTTTTCCTCATATCAGTCTCAGTATATATCTTTTACACCTGTGCACTGCTTGCATTACCTTCCCACGCTCCGCGCACTTTCGCACTTCGCTTTCCCGTGTGCACCTTCAGCGCATTTCACCGCCATTCACCAGGGTTGATTAGCATCATTCCATGGATCCTTGCTTTCCTTGCTTCCCCTTTAGGGTCGAACTGTTCTTGCATTCTGCGAGTATAGCAGCTAGGCAGAGCTGAGACTCACTTATACTGGCTGAGCACTTTTCTTATATGTGCCTGCCAGGTTGTGATACCCTCAGCGAGAAGTGAGGAACTGTGCCCTGAGGTTTCAAATATCTGGCAGTAGTGGTGAAACCAAGTAAGCGCATCTTGAATTTGATTCATGGTGTCTTCAGTGATGATGTTGCGCCATATGAGAAAACAGAATTCTAAAAGTGTGCGAAATGCACGCACCATATCTTGAGGTACGTGGCCTTCGATAGCCGGAATGAAAACCTTCATCAACGCTTTCAAATCGTTCCCTGTCCACTGTCTGAAGTCGTGGCCTTCATGAAATCTCCGTAGACCAGGGAATGATGCTACACCGGCAATTCTGGTATTGTAAGAGAGTGCCATCAAGTTGATGAGTGAGACAACATACCTGCGGTCTATATCAGCCATAATTTCATCTCCTTGTTTGGTACTGTGTGTAATCCTGAGGTATTTCACTACCCAATCCACGAGATGGTCCTTGAAGGCACCTTTGATGAGTTGGTGGAGGAGATCAAATGATAATAACTGATGGATATCAGCTCAGGGAAAGTTGTTCGTGAAGGGCTACACAAAACAAATTAGTTTGTATTTAAATATCCTTTAGCAGTTTGACTCACAGTGACGTGGCTATTGACACCATATTTGAACCACAACGTGTCTGCAGGTAGTTCACTTATCATTAAATCTGTGTGTTCACTGAGAGCGGTAGATACCGCCGCCATCAAGATCTAATCGAAGTGCAAGACATCTACTATGCCAGTAAGCATTGATACTGACGAGGAATTGAAATACTCACTTTGGACACCAATTTTTGACGCTACAAGACAATACCAGCTGCTCCTCATAGTCCGCTATGTATGGTCCTAGACCATAAATGACACGTCGAAAGTGACCATCCCCGCAGTGCAGGACCTCATATTGGGTCATCCCAGGTTTCAGACTGGAGAGAATGGTAGATAATGAGCAGTGGAATAGTTGGCGATGGAAGTTCTGAAATATATCTTCTTTAGCGTCTTTCCTATTCGCTATGGCATAGATTAGATAAAACAATGACAATGAATGTTTTGACACATACTTTTTGGTATAGCAAGGAAACCGATGATAACGAGGGCATCATGGTGGGCACGCCGTACGTTGTTGTGTACATTGCCGATTGATGCATACAGGGGATAGTATTCATTGTTTCCTGTGCACACAGAGACGGTAGTCTTGTCGCTACCGAGAATAATTGGCACGAATGTTGATCCATGCGTGTTTGAATCCTTTGATATCTCGTCCTGATGGGATGTTAGGTAGAAATAAAGATACATGAAATAACTTACAGCTTGTTGCCATGCCCAGTCTCCAGACATAAAATCTTTCCATCGGCGTGTGTCATCAGCTGCATCATACTCACAGAATGGTGTATAATCGATCTCCTTCTTGTAGGTGGGATTTGCTAGTATGTTGTGTGCCATCATGCGGGGATCCCTGTACCAGACGTCATACTCATCATCCATCCATGACGGGATGTTCTCAGGACGTTCTCCTGAGTATTTGACTGAGAATCCCTGCCAAGGAACATCGCCAAGTTGTGTAGCAGTCGATGACCTTGTGTAAGTCTTTATGGTCAGCGAATGGAGGATTGTCGTTGTGCTTAGCCAGAAGTGCAGCCATTAAATCGAATAGTGTATCTGCAGCCGCATTGGACATGTGATGTTGTTTGAACGTAAACTCGGCTGTTGCAAACTCGATGTTGTTACAGTATGGGCTCCAATCATGAGCGGACTTGGGTGGTGGAAGAGTTGGGGGCGCACCAGGTGGTAGAAACACACCATCGGCTGTACAAGGTCGTCCTAAAGGTATGTGATGAGTCAATATGAAGAGGACAGATAGAAAGCAACTTACCATTGAGTACTGAGTGGTACGTACAATAGTATCGCCCACTGGGATCCGTGAATTCAGCCTCTTCATCTCCCTTGTCATCGACTGTTGGTCTGTGGCTGGGATACCTCAGAGGTGATGACTGGGGTGGGGGGTCAAAATCTGGAGGGGGCGACACAAATTCTCGAGGGGGAGGTGATGGCTGGGGTGGTAGAGGGACATCTTGAAGGCACGGTCCTGGAGCTGGTGTGACATTGTTTATGGGGTGGTATGCATTCATATGTTGCGTGAGACCTGAGCGATTTTTGAACCAGCGCGTGCAATTTGGAGCTGGACACTCCAACCGAAAGAGGTTGTGAGCATGGAGACCAGCAGCCTGAGGCATAGTATGGTGGAGCTGGTAGCTCCAGCCGATGCTGATGAATGTGGATGCCTGATGATCTGATTCGATGTGTTCTACTGTGGCTCTCTAATGCTCCTCTCGATGATGACTAAGCTCCCGAACCTCTGCAAACCTCTGCAAACCTCCGCTCCTACAACCCTCCTACAACCCTCCTGCTAGGGGGTGCCCTACCCCAACGGGGGTAGTTGTAACACGGGATAAATTGAAGTGGAGTGCCTGGGCTGTGAAGTTCTCTTGTGCCATAGTTGAGCGCTGACCAAGGTTTAGTGCCGATACCAAACCTAAACAATATCTCCCAATTTAGTGCCATTGTCAAGGTCAAAATTTGGCCAACTCGCCTTAGTGAACATCAATATTATACCAAAAGTTTTGTTAAACGTTGATGTTACACCGAAATGGTTGTGGTGAATTTTCATTTGTCGGACTAAAACAAAACCACTTGAAGGCTCCCGAAGTTGGCAGACCGAAATCTGTAATCTGTAATATAACTATGGTAGTACTTGTATTAGTAGCACTAGCCAAGAGTACGTTAGGGTCAATGTCATATTCAGAGTCAGCTTTCTAGGCTAGAAATTTGCAAGAGAGTGACAAGACTCACGTTCAACTCATCACCACTACCCTCCAATACCTTTAGTCTTCAAATCGTCCATCAAACAAATGTCTCAGCCAGCTTCGCAGCGTATGGGAACCCGTCCTAAAATCGCAACTCAGCATCCAGGACACATCGTGCTCGAGGCCGAAGGTCGTGCAAAGAGACATACCAAAGCTCAAATGATTGCTGACCGACAGCGCGAACTGGAGGCAAGCCAGGCAACTGAACAAACTATACAAAAAGGGCATCAGCATATAGCAACTCTCCAGGAACAGATGGCAACAGACCAAGCTGCTGCACGTGTTGATGCACTGAAGCCTAAATGTCCCCGTGCTCGCCCCATAGCAAAGGCTGCAAAGCCCTCAGCGAACCTTTGAACAGAGTATGGCCAGTGGAGACGTAGGTGCAAGAGTCGCCATTGATAAGGTTGTTGGTGCTAAAACCAAGCGTGGTGGGCCTGGAGGTGTGTTGGCGGCCAGTGCCTAACATTGAAAACCCCGCAAGCGACGAGGAGTTGGGAGCACCACCTGCAAGGGGCAAAGGCAGGAAGATGCCATTGAAGACACCAGTGAGGGATGTGATTCAAGCAGTAGCAGGCGCAGAGAGCCTTATCAATCCATCAACAAAGGCACGTGATGGTGATCAGATGTTCAAGGCGTGAGTCTTTCCTTTCCTAACCAATATTTAACCCAATGACACTCCATTTGACTGAAACGGTTCTTTTCTTTTTCAATCTTGCAATAAATGTCATCGATATTGCTAGCCAAACGCCTGCTAGAAAGTTCAATCTCGCTGGGCGTATCCCAGATTGGAGGTCGAAACTTGTCATTGCTACTGATAAGGCTTTAAACCCACCCTCTAACCCACCCTCTAAAACCACACCTTCTATCCAGCGGTCCATCACTTCCAGCTCTGCTCCCTCCTCTAGGCTTACAAAGGGGAGCACTGTTAGCTACAACAGTGCACCCACACTCACTCCTCAATGTACTCCTGATTATGATGATGGTGCAGTGATTTGACACTCGCACTTATATGAAGATGAGGATGACAACGACAACGAAGAGAATGAGCACGGTTTTGTTAGTGAGACACGAATCAAGACTTCTGCAGTGAGTTCAATTTTCCTAAATTTATTTCACGCATTAATCAAAGCCTCAGGGTACCAACATCAAAATTACTCCCATGGCTTTCGACGACGACGACGAGGTGCCACAGAGTATGGCCCAACATGCTGCGATTCCGATACCTGAGCAGGAGCAGCTTGACAACGATAACAGCACTGACTTCAGCATGTTTTCAGATGTGCAAGAGGACGTCCAGGCCCGTCCTGCTCCCTTGGTGAACTACGCATCTGAGTCAGACAGTGATTTTGATGCCCCTCTTTTAGGGCAGGCCTCCCCCATAGATCAGGATTCTGATATTGAGTTTCTATCTCTCGCCCAGCCTCCCTCGACTCGCTACGTCCCTCCTGCGTATTATATCTCGCCAAGTCTAAAACGCAAAATCACAGAGGAAGACTTACTCTCACCGTTGTCTGAGATTGAGGTTCTCGATGGGCCTGACGAGTTGTCAGTCATAGTGAAGAAAGAACCCGAACCAGTAACACTCTGGCAGACTTCTGCAGTACGTATTTGTTTGCTGATCAGAATATCTTACTGATTAGGAAGCACAGACCAGTGTTGCTGTAAGACAAAAGATCCTGCAGTGAAGAGGTTGAAGACCTCCGCTGCAGGTAAGGCCTCTCATGCAAGCATTGCGCCCTCCTCTCAGGCAACAGAGATGCCAAAAATCGTGCTCTCTCAATCTCAGTACAGGATGAAGCATCTTCCTGATGTTTGTCAGACGTTGGGCAAGTGGAGCAGTGTGTTCATCCCCACTTTGATTCACTGCATCGGCAACCAGGACGAAGTCTGGGCCATCAAAGACAATTCCCTCAGTGCTACTCTGCAACTAATTTGGGATGCCGTTTACAAAGGTGTCCCATACACAGTCACTACTGATGGGCTTGTCATTGCCGTGGTGAGTGCCTTTAAGCCCCATTCATATCTGAGTCCTGAAACCAGATATTTCACAGGCCCTTCAGCAGTTGTCAGAATGGTGCATTAGCACCACTGCCCTCGTTGTATTTGCAACATTCCTACGCTCACAGCCTGATCTCAAGACTGATGAAGACCGCCAGGAATTTTCTGTGTGCCTACTTATGAAGAGCGCGTTCTTGTATGGGACAATTAAGGAGGATGGTAGTAAGCACATGGAACCATTTCAATCTGACCTTATCGTGCAGCTGCTTGCGCAACATCACTGTGCTATTTCTGGTGCTCTCGCCGTTGTGCCAGGATTCACTACATTGGGACACCCAAAGGGGGCGCTTGCCCTCGCCACTTCGGCGGCAGGTATCTCCACCATATCTTTATACAGTTAACTCATTCTTTATTTTAGATGGAACGCGCAATCACACTTTTTGCCAACGAGGGCTTTCTACTGAGTTACATTGAAATCAACAGTCGAGGAAGGGCTTCCAGGGCCCCCCAGAAGCACAACAAGTCATCGGGCAATGAAAGTAGTGCTCTTTTGGCATTTTCAGATGTCAACTGGGGTGGGCCCACTAGGTCATACGTGATATCCATCACTCGCATAGGAGACTTGGTCATTAGGAAGATGTGGGAGAGAGCTCAGAACCTTGGCACAAAGAGGCATGGTGCACGAAAGGTGGACGAGGAATCGGAAGATGAGCGCACGCTCATCTGCTAGTTGTCAGTGGTACTGTTCTGTTTTTGTCATCTCATGTCTCGCAACTGACTACCAGTAGTATTATGACTCCTCCTGCAGTGTCATGATGTTAGGACTACTCCCTCATGTCGCCATCTCTCTGCTCAAGTCGCCACTTCAATCCTTATCTCCATGCTGCTCCAATTCGCTCATTTTCCCGTTGCTCCAAGTCGTCTTTCCCTTGTTGCCCTTCCCTTGTTGCCACTACTACTACTAATAGTTGCACGCATTTTAAACCGTCGCTAACCGTCGCTATCCCGCTCTTTAATGTTTCTTTCTGCTACTTACCAGCACTTGACTGTCACTTACTCTCACTTTATATTAACTTGTCCGCTTGTCTCGCTATAAATGCAGTATTTGCCACTGTTTTTTTCATGAACCAAGTGGGCACAAGCTCGAGCAAGTGGAAATAAGTAAAAAATAAGTGCAAAACAAGAGGAGGGATCTACTTGTTAAACTTGCAGCAGCTTGCGGCAAGTGGTTTTTACCGTCCTTGCCAAGGACTTAACCACTTCTTGTGGGAAAATAATTGACAGCAAGTGGCGGGAAAGCTAACTAAAGAATTAGTGAATTTACTGATGATACTGAACTATGTTCCTTTGAATGAATTTGAGGTGTATTGCAAGGAAAACTGGGACATTCAGCCTGTAGGTGATGCAGAACTGCTCATTTCTATTCTCACTTGTTTCTGCTCAGGAGGCTGGGGGTATGCCACTTGAGCCTCCCATCTTTGACAGCCCATTTGATCTCATCCAGGATGCAGTCTACTTTGTAGGCATTGTTTTTCTCTTTGTTCTTAGGCTAAAAACAAATGACATATAAGATTCCCAGTACCCAGGACTTGCAACCACAAAGTTCAGCCATTGTGGGAGGCCATGAGGCAAATGGTGACCCCCTCTATATTGTACGTGCTCCATATGAGGTGAGTTAAATGAATCCTGCCAAGTTTGAGCATTATTCTTATACAGGCAACTTTGCAGGGTGGTATCTGTAAGTTCTGATACTGGCACATTGCCCAAAGCATTCACCTTTTGTCAAACAAGATCCAGGGAAAGCATCCCCCAAGGAGTCTGTATACATCAGCCATGATGGCAGAGAGATAAATGTATGTTTAATGCAACATCTTGACCTGCACTTGGTTACAACTACTTCTCAGATCCATGGTAAATTTGAACGTCTTGTGGGAGATCAGAGCTGTGTTCGCTGGGCTCATGTTGATGGTCGATTCTATTATGGGAGGCTGGGTGGTGCTATCCCTGTGCGGTTGGTCTATCTCATATAGAAGTATCTTCTCTTTATAACATAATTTCTGGTCATTCAGTGGAGGGACAGAGCCACCTGGAGCAGCCCTTTACATTGCCCAAGCATCTGTTGAAGGAGGTGTTCATTGTGGCAAAGTCAAATTTGATAGCTATGGTCAGTAGGTATTCAGTACTCCTTAAAGCTGGTTTTAATCATTCTCTCTTGTAGCTGCCATTCCATTGAATGGCTCTGAAATAATTGCAGAAAGCTACAATGTTCTTGTATTCTGTGATTGAATTGGTCTAACATCAGACATCCAATGATGAAATTGTATGGGTGTATACTAAAGAATTACCTTAAGTAAAATCCCTACAATAAGTGCAATAATGATAGGTTGTATTGTTAAGCTTTACATGGTAGGATAGACATGGCAGAATTCACAAGATATGCAGGGATGAGACTTCAGTGTCAAGAGCTTAAGAGTTCAGACTGAAAATGAGAGAGAATTGCAAGGTATCATGTCATGGACTAAATATCATGGGACTTAAGGCGACATCAGTTGTGGCTACCTTGAGTCGTTAAAACACGCACCTTGACAAATTTCTGCCCTTCAGATAAGACGAGAAGGCAAGACCGCAGACCCTTCAAACACCACTCCATTTCCAACCAGGGGATAATATGATCATTCCAAAAAGCCTGGAATATATGATTGAGTGTGTCATCCCATGGATTGGGGGCGCGCGAGAGATGTACGGCCCAGTTGTGACAGGCGTACTTGAGAGCGTCGGAAGCTGTTCGACTGCGTTCCAGAGCTTCGTTTGCGAGACTTTCAAAGGCATTTATAGCACGGATTATCTCCCTGCCTGGTAGAAGACTTTCTGGTATTGCAGAGCTGGAATGATGCCTGGTGTCTTAATGCCAGGAAAACCGGAAACATCAAGAAATCTGGCAAGGTCTTGAACTGCTGGATTACTTGAAAAGCCGGCAATAACGACACATCGCTGGTGATGATATACTCGTTGATTGCCTCCGATGTCCTCGAGAATTCTTCCATTGTTACCCAGATGGAGGCCGCAGGAGTGGACTGCCACGCTTGACCATGAGGAGTCTGCAGCCAGTCTCGCCCATACAGAGTCTGCAACCAGTCTCGTCCTGCCTGGGTCTGCAGCCAGTCGTCCCCACCCTTTGTCCGCAACCAGTCTCGTCCTGTCTGAGTCTGCAGCCAGTCTCGTCCCCCCTGGGTCTGCAGCCAGTACTCTTGCCCTCCGTGGGTCTGTAGCCAGTCTCGTCCCCCCTGGGTCTGCAACCACTCTCGTCCTCCCCCCTGAATCTGCAGCCAGTCTCGTCCTCCGTGGGTCTGCAGCCAGTCTCGTCCTCCGTGGGTCTGCAGCCAGTCTCGTCCTTCCTGGGTCTTCAGCCAGTCTCGTCCCTCCTGGGTCTTCAGCCAGTCTCGTCCTGTCTGGGTTTGCAGCCAGTTTAGCCCTGCCCGGGTCTGCAGCCACTCTCGTCCTGTCTGGGTCTGCAGCCACTCTCGTCCTACCCGGGTCTGCAGCCACTCTCGTCCTCTCTGGTCATGCAGCCACTCTCGTCCTCCCCGGGTCAGCAGCATCAACTCTTGTCCTCCACAGGTCCGCATCCACTCTCGTCCTGCTCGGGTCTCCAACCACTCTCGCGCTGCATGTGTCTGCAGCCACTCTCGTCCTGCCTGTGTCTGCAACCACTCTCGTCCTGCCCGGGTCTGCAGCCAGTCTCGTCCTGCCTGGGTCTGCAGCCAGTCTCGTCCTGCCTGGGTCTGCAGCCAGTCTCGTCCTGCCCAGGTCTGCAGCCAGTTTTGCCCTCCCCGGGTCTTCAGCCAGTCTCGTCCTGTCTGGGTCTGCAGCCAGTCTTCCCCACCCTTTGTTCGCAGCCAGTCTTGTCCTGCCTGTGTCTGCATCCACTTTCGTCCTGCCCGTATCTGAAGCCACTCTCGTCCTGTCTGAGTCTGCAGCCACTCTCGTCCTGTCTGAGTCTGCAGCCACTCTCGTCCTGTCTGAGTCTGCAGCCACTCTCGTCCTGCCCGAGTCTGCAGCCACTCTCGTCCTGTCTGAGTCTGCAGCCAGTCTCGTCCTGCCCGTGTTTGCAGCCACTCTCGTCCTGTCTGGGTCTGCAGCCAGTCTCGTCCTGCTCGGGTCTGCAGCCAGTCTCGTCCTCCCTGAACCTGCACCCAGTCTGGTCCTTCCCGGATTTCCACCCATTCTAGTTCTCCCTGGACCTGCACCCACTCCGGTCCTTCCTGGGCCTGCTCTGGTCCTCCCGGGATCTGCAGCCAGTCTCGTCCTGCCCGGATCTGCAGCCAATCTCGTCCTGCCCGGGTTTGCAGCCAGTCTCGTCCAGCCTGGATCTGCAGCCAGTCTCGTCCTGCCCGAGTCTGCAGCCAGAATCGCCCTCCCTGGGTCTGCAGCCACTCTCGTTTTCCGTGGGTCTGCAGCCAGTCTCGTCCTCCGTGGGTCTGCAGCCAGTCTCGTCCTGTCCGGATTTGCAGCCAGTCTTGTCCTTCCTGGGTCTGCAGCCAGTCTCGCCCTGCCTGAATCTGCAGCCAGACACGCCCGTCCACAGTCTCCAGCCAAGATTGTAAATCTGAAGCGCGATCTCCTCGAAGCCACAGCATACAAATGACAGCCGATAGTGGCTCAGGTGGTTGAACAAGGAATGCCAATGAGTCTTTTAACCTATGGGGATCCTCAGGTTGCATAGCTTGGCTCTGCTTCTTCAGTTCTGAGAGCGCGTCTAAGAGGGCCGTGCTTTCTGGAATCGCCTTTATCAATTGGAGAGAGGAGCGTGCGAGTAGGGAGTGAGGCGATGGGATATCGCGTACTTGATGGAGGCTGCAGTTTGAGAGGTCGGAAACATAGTCGCGAATGGATGAGTGATAAATATTCACGGGGAGAGTGCTGTCTGTAGGGATATCCATGACAGACCGTAGTTGTATCAGCGTTGTCTGCACATCCCTGCCCAAACCAGGGCCAAGAAGTGTTGAGATTTGCGAAATGGGCAGAGGGTCTGTAAGGGCAGCAACGAGGGACAAGTGCAGGTATGCCCGCTTGGGATCGGCACACGTGGAGAGGATACAGTCGTATAACTTGTACACATCCGTTCCTGGTAGCAGCTTGCTCGTCAGCTCGAGCATCAGCTGCAACCTATCGTGGGGATCATTGTCTTCATCGTCGATAATGAACTTCATCATCGTAGACGCTACGATGAAACGTCTGCCCGCTCGGCTCGCCAGCTTCGCAAGGTCAACCTCTGATGGCTGAGGGAAATTAGGATGACGACTTCCCAGATCTTCGAAGGAATGCCGTAGGAAAGTACAGATATCGTTGTCAACGTCTGCACCGTCTAAAGAGATGATGCCGCCCTCCCCAGAAGTTCTCACGGGTATCTCACGCACCAACGGGCGCACCTCGTCGTTCTGAAAGACTTTGTCAATATACGATTCCGAGCGACTTGTGAGCAGAATGTGGGTCACGGGTAGATCAGGCTCACGAAGAGCCCGTGCGAGGGAAAGGATGAGATCGATAAGCTCGGGTTGCGATGTGCATTCATCAAGCGCATCGATAACAAACGACAAAGGTGGACACCCGCGCAATCTGGATTGGAGTTTCCGGAGAGGCCGAAGAAAGAAAGCCTCCATCTGATCGCAGAGAGGCGTATCCGGATCTAGTAGAGCGGGATTGTCGCGGATAATTCTGCTCACATCCTTCCGGATGCTTGGAAAATTGGTGGCAAGCTGGTAGACGAGCGTCGCAAAGAAATACCCAGCCGTGCAGCGTTTGGTGTGCTTCCGCGAGAAAAAGAATGTTCCCCCGAGCCGCTTTTCAACATTCGTCTCTTCTGTTACCTTAAGGTCTCTCATCTTCTCGGCTACAGTGAACGCAACAGCAGACTTTCCGACACCAGCCGTGCCATGCAACCAAATAAGTTGATTCTTCTTGGGGTCGTCCAGGAATCCATGGATGTATTTGAGGAGATCCACCCGGGTCCCTTCCAAACATTTCGGGTGGGGATGACGTTCAGGGGAGTTATATTGAGCACCCTTGACAGCTACCCGGGACAGCCTCGCCCAAATTCCTTCAAGAACTGTCAAAGAGGTCAGAGGGAATGCAAGAGATAAAGTATGGCAGTAGTACTGACATTGATCGTCACTCATTGACGAAGGTTGTGATATGCGAGATCCAATGAACCAGCTGAAAGTACTAGCTGAGTTCGAAGGTGCTGGCTATTTCGAGAGACGACGTCGAGAATTTGAATCAAAATTTGGGCTTAGATTAAACAATGATCAAGCTGTCAAGTGATGGTGATAAAGCGTGATTGAGATGGAATGGTTGAATGGATGTTTCAATCTATGATAAGCTTACTAGATAGTGGTAGAATTTGAAAGACGAGTACTCGGTAGGCGCTCGTCTGGTAGCTGCTGTGATATTGCCGTGGCGGCCGACATCAAGCCAACATGCTGTAGATAAGCTGTAGTTTGGCCGCTGCACAGCCAGACGGAAAATTTCAAACGTCAAATGACTAGTAGGAGTCACTAGATCTAGACAGGGACACTGAGTTGTGTGGACAAGATTCAGCCTTGAAATGACTAGGATGTAGACTGGAACCTTAGAAATTCACAAGACGTACTAGCATCCTTTAATAGATTGGTGGTTATACGTACCACTGAGGGCATGAGTGAGAGACTTATAGTACATGATTTCTCATATTATCACTCGTCCTGATTCCCGATCGAACTCCAGTTCTCATGAATTATTAGGCCTATAGGGCGTTTGTTGAGCTGGTGGGATAACAAAGTTGACGTGTTCAAACTTTGAGAAAGGTTATCAAATGTGGGAACGACATTTCCTTTTTTAGTTTATGCTCGTTCTCGAGAACGATTGAAATTTACAAGACTGAGCATCAGCGCCGCAGGGGGAAATGGACGATGGTCTTGTCCTAAACATTGCAGAGGCATCTGCAGGACCCACAAAGTTAGCATCAAAAAAATCTGGTCGCTGGACGGATAGGTGAGCAGACGTTCGATTTCATGCATGCAGTTAATCGTGATAGCCTAGGTTGAAGGCAAAACGAGTCCAAAAGAGAAGGACTGACCGTCATCCTGGCAGCGATGATGATGACCATTCTCGTCCCGTAAAGCGGATGCGACCTAACATACCCTTGCCTGCTACCAAAGTAGCTTCTGCAGCGGACCGTCCGGCACTTCCAGCTAAGCCTCCGACTCAGATAATATCTTCTCTGTTCTCGTACAACCCTAAAGTCGAAG